TAACTAAGTCTCTTCAATTTGTTACTGTCAAGTGTGAGAGTTAATCTTAAACTGGTCTTAAAAATAACTGCTATTTAAGAATATATATGTGAAAGCTTAGCGACGGTTAGGTGTACATTTCTCGTTAAAGTGGCATTCATTTCCAGAGCTGGTTAATTTGGCAGGCAAAATGTTACACACTTTTCAGTAATTATTTCTATTTATGTCTTTATTAAACAATTCGAAAGTTTAAAATTTTATAGAGGCAAAAGCCATTGAAAAATATTTAGTTTTAGGTGAAATTTTTGGTTGTTTAAGACAGCCACAACTTTTCACAACTACTAAGTTGCATACCACTTTGTCTTAATTAAAATCATTTTTTTTCATATTTTTATTGAGACTATTTTACAGAAATTCTTGATTTTTGTTTAGTATCTCTCGCTCTATTCTTCGTATTTTCAAAACTTATTCTATTCGGAATCAATTAGTTTGGAAAGAAAAGAAATAGTTATTAAAGATGTTGATGTTGACGAATTTATTGAACTCTTGTACGTTGTGTATCCTTCACGAAAACCTATAAACGGTATTACTTTTTAGCTTTTTTTATTCCAAAAATTTAAAAAGAAACGAAAAAAACTGAAGTGACTTACCCGTTCACTTCTTGCTCAAATAACACTGCAATTTTTTTAAAATGATATTTTTTGCTTATATTTTGCTAAGAAAAATTTGTCTGAATTTTTTGGCGTTAAAAAATATTAGAATAGCATCAAAGTTTAAAATAAGATTTATTTTTTAGCGAACAATTTTGAGTGCATTTTGCGACTGGCAGACAGATTCAAAGTTGAACACATCGTAAATCAATGTGAAGAATTTTTAATCACTTACGATGGTGTTCCAGCAACCAAAAAACTTCTTTATGCCGAGAAATATAAACTCAGCAAATTGCAAGTACGTTTGCAAAACCTGTAACATTTTATGCAACTTTAAAACTTTTATTTTTCACTTTGAATCTAATAATTTGCATCAAAATAAACTATTAGTGTAAAACTGAGCAAATCTGTTCACATAACGTAATTTTATTTTCCTTGACATGTCCTCGACATATAATATTTTCTAGGACGCATGTCTAAAAAAAATCAACAATTTGAGTGATCTCGACTGTTTGAGAAAGGAGGAAGAATTTGCTCTTCTTGGTGATATTTCAAAATCAGCGCTACTCGAGAGAATTTTGAAAGTGAAATGAAGAAATGTGACTTTTGAAAATAACCTTGCTTATATATCATGAAAGTTATTTTTAGTTGTTTTAAATATACTTTCGTACCGGTTTGTATAAAGCGGGCCAACTTCAGATCACGATGTTTTTTGAGCAATTTTTTAGTATCTAGTGAAATAAGGAGAGAGTGACCAACGACATGGAGTAGCTGTGAAGAAATAAAAAACAGAAGCAATTGTAAAACAAGAGACTAGCTTGTCAACCTGTCATTAAGATTGTCCTGATTAGTTTAAAAAGGTAATACTAGTAAAGTCATTTGTTGCCTATTTAAACTTTATCTGAACAAACAAGCTAACAATCTTTTGAACCAGCAGACATTGTAAAAGCTGAAAACTGAGATGAGCTATTCTTTCTATAACTTTCTAAAACAGAAGCTATCTCAAAAGTAACAAAACAAAAAGGGCATTTGTTTTTACTTATCTTATCAATAAAATTAGCACTAAATCCAAAGTAGTTTCGACACCTAAATGTTTCAAAAACAGAGTTTTGGCGACTGAATTTTCTTTCAGTGTTTTCCTTGATCATTTGTTTAAGCGACTAATTCCTGACTTCTCTTGAAAATACGTTCCAAAGTTCTAGATAAACTAAAGGTGTAAGAGTTGAAATTGATCTTGTTACATTAGCTTACTTTTACTGCTACTCATTTCCTCTGCTAACAAAAGACCTAACTTTTCGCTTGCTTGTTTACAAGAGATTAGTTTTACGAATGTTTGATGTTTCAAACTTATGTACTTTATGCTAAATTTTATCTGCTCTTTGTATCACTGTTTCACCTTACTGCTTAAAAATTTGATGGTAGATCATTTTTTTTTTTTTTTTGCAAATTTGTAAACAAACTTTTCTGATTAATTGTTAATGGAAGTGTTATGTTTATAAAATCCAGTTTACTTCTCTGATTTCAAAAAAGTTTGCTGTGTTTGCTTGAATGAAAATTTTTGCTTTGGTTTTCTATTATGCCAGTAAAGAAACCAATATTTTGAGCAAAAAAAAAAAAGAAAAAAAAAAGAGGAAGGCACTGAGAGGCAGACCTGTGTCTTGTTCATTCCGACTAAGCTACTAAACTGAAGAGTTGTCTGAAGTTAAAAATTTTACAGTTTTTTTGTTATGTACCAAAGACTTGTCATTAAAACAGCAGCTAAGATGACCTCATTCAGATAAGCTTATTCAATTTCAGGAGTAATAATATAAACAAAAAAACAGCTTTTTTGTAAACAAGATGGGATCTTTTTTCAACAAGCTAAGAAAATGTTTACAATTACAGTGTAAGAGTATGTTTAGCCAAAAATGAACTTTATTGTGCTAGCAAAAAGAAGTTGTTTGCAGTCGACAGCTAATTTTCAGCAATTCACATTTGAAAAGTCTACAACAAATAATGAGCCTGAAAAAAATTTTTAGTAAGTTCAAGGATTAAGTTTACTTACGGTTCTGTTAAAAAATTGATTTTTATAACTGTTTAAACTTTTCTACGCTAAAATGGCATTATTGGGCAGATAGGCAGAAAAAAAAAACTTTTTAACTTTTGAATAAGAAATTTTTTTAATAATATGTATATCCAAATGAAAATAAGCTTATTTTTTTGATAGAATAAACCAATTTTGTTTGATTAATCTCAATCTTTTTAGTAATCCAACAGTTGGCTATTCCATTAATAACGTTAACAGACAGATAGCTGTTAATCTGTCAGAAGTATTTTTGTACCAACTTTTTAGCAACACAGACGAGTTACAGTAAAATACATAAGAAAGTTTAGCGAAACAAGTATAACTAAACTTGATATTGTGCAGTAATTTGAGTCTCAGACTATAAATAAATTTTTGCCACGATTTTAATGACATATCACTAGATGTGTAACATTTTCTTGTTAAGATATGATTAGCTATCTTGGCAATATCCACAGTGATATGTTGCTTGAAACTGCCAAAAAAATGATTACTGATTGAATAGATTCAATGCGTTCATCGTTCAAACAGTATCAATCAGTTGTATAGTTTTTTATCAATCTTGAGCAAAGAAATAAATTCTTAATTTTTTAATAAAGAAGTTTTTTTAAAAGTGCTGAAAGATAGCTATCTAAAAGCAAAGTATACTCAAAAGCAAATGGTAATAAAATTGGTAGTAGTTGTAGTAATAGTAGTAATACTAATAACAATAAAAATAACGACAATAATGACAACCAGTCAATCAGTTTAATTTTTATTCGATCTTGTATTGCTGTAGACTTTATTTTAATTTGTGCTACTATTGCTGATAATAAAGGAATTATCTGTATTGCTGTATTATCCACCTGGTTCTAACTCATTACGGCAACACATTTTTCTTTTTAATGGTCTTTGGCGTATAACGGAAAGATCAAAATTTGAACATGTTAGAAAAGACGTAAGAAGAGTTTATTTAAGCGTATGTGTATTGAAGCACTAATGAGTATGATAACCCACTCTCAAGTTGGCTCATGGCGTTGTAACAAAAAAATAGAAAAAGGTTAAAAAACTTCTATTTCTGTTAATAAGTTGTGTCGTTGTAACAAATATAAAATGCGTAAGAATGTTAACACACCTCAAACTTGGGTAATTTAACTTTTAATATAAGAAACAAGACAACATTTAAT